GTTTTTTCTTCTTGTTCCTGCTTCTTCTCTCTTGGAAGAGCCTCTAAAATTTAGCTACTTTGATTGTAAATAACTATGATTGTTAGAGCGCAACAGTGCTTGTGTATAAATGGTGACAACAATGTACACCACGAAGTTGTTGAAGAAGTTTAGCTTGGAGGAGTTAAGCATGGAAAAGATTCATTATTGTTAGTTAAGCATTATTATTATTAGTCGTTTAAGTAGTTTAAGTAACATTATTTGTTTAGTAGTTGAATAGAATGTTAGTTAATAATTCTTGAGACCACAGAAACGATTTCTTCCAATGACCCGCGCAACTAGATCCTTCGTTCAAAACATTGAAAGAGCATTATTGTTATTAGTTCGGTAGTTTAAGTAATATTCTTCATTAATTAGTTGTATAGAGTGTTAGTTAAGAATTGTATTAAGTATAGAAGTGTAAGATGTAGTTAATAAACGCCATCTTTAAACCACAAAACGATTTCTTTCTTCACCCGCGCAACTTGGTCCTTCGTCAAAAACAATGATTTTTATAGAATTTTAAAAAATCATTAAGAAAATTTTAGTTTATTTCCTTGATTATTTTGAAGAAAGTGAAGATTTTGTAAGTTGTTACATTCACTGACGATTTCTATTAAAAATACAACAATCATTTAGGAAACTTTTTCATTTCTTTGATTATTTTGAATAAAGTCAAGATTTGGTTCATTTAATAACATTTCCGAATATGTTTAAGACGACATTATATAAATCATTATGTTATTAACAAAAGTTTCATTGTAATTAACTTCGATTTTTATAAAAGTTTAAAAATTCCAAAAATCATTAGAGAAATTTTAGTTCAATTTTTAGATTATTTCGAGCAAAGTAAAGATTTGGTTTAAATATGTCAACTACGATTTTTATATAATTTTTATTGAAAAATAATATTCAAATAAATGAACTGAAACAAAGTAAATATTTGATTTATTTAAATTAAAATTTTCAACTAGAGAAATAATAAATTGTAATTTGTAAACAATTTAATAAATAAATATATTTATTGACAAAATATTTGGTTTTTAGAAAGAAATAACAAACATAAATTCCATTCAGTATTTCAATATTTTAAAAGACTACACTTGACGTAAACCATCGTCTTGTTTTCTCCGTACGCTTCGAATACGCCGTACTTGTCTTTCCCAGTTATTTATTGTAAAATTGATGGAGGTTTTATGCCCAATAAAATTGTTTTCATCCCGAAATTTCATGAAATATGGACACAATTTCCACCCGTAGCACATGGTTGAATTATTGTAATCCTGCATCCATTTCCCTTCGATTTATCAGGAATTTCGCATCATAGGAGCAACAAAAAAAAACAACGATTCCAAACAACTATTTACTGGAATTACTCCACCCTGAAATTCTCGAAATACCATTAGTTAATTAAAGCAGATATAATTGAAATTTAACTTTGTAAACTATTTAAACCAATGAAGTTTCAACAATTGCTAAAACAAATCACATTGTGTAAGTTAAAAGTCTAAAATTAAATGCATGAAATAACAATAATTTGCATGTGAATTAAGTCGTTAGAATATTAAAAGTTTCACGAAAAGCGGAAACTATTTTTGAATAGCGGCGTGTGAGAAATACTGAAGGGAATTTTCTCAATGCCAAAACGTAATTTCAATTCATATTAACGTTTTTTTTCCTCTCTTTCTCTTTGGTGACACGCAATTTTTATGTGTCGACCTTAATAATATTAATGTAACGTGGTAATATGTAAAATGAAACAGCCCACGCATTTTCGCGTTTATTTTCAAGAATTCCTTCGCTGCACAAAGTGTGGAATTAAATACAAAGTTTCCGTTAATTGGAAATAAAAAATTCTTGATTTAACGCGGTGCTAAAACTGGAATTTATAGCGACAACTGTTACAATTTAGTGTAAGATTGATGGATGTTTTTCGTAATTGGGATGTTTCTTGATTGCAGTCCTGCATATGGAGGGAACCAATTAAGATGATTGATCGGACGAAGCGGATGTTCGGGGCTTTGCCTGCATGTTGATCTTGGCAATGGGAATGCGGGATGCGGTATAATCATCTAATTCAATCAACTCCGGTCTGAAAACGTTTGCATAAATGGGAGCGACGAGACGCTACAAATGATCCACACGCGATAACTAGTATTTCATATTTTTACGCAGAAATCGACAGTCTGATGTAAAAAGATTGAAAGGGATTAAATGATTGAGTCAGATTTAGAAGAATTTGTGATGGGAATTACATAGTATTAAGAAATAAACCCGGCGCATTCACTAATTCACATTGTATTCCTATTAATTAGTAAAAAGCAGAGTCAAACCGGAACCGAACCGAAATTAAACGGAATTTTTCACTGAACCGTAACTGTAACCGGAACGAAAAAATAAAAAACAAAACCGGAACGAAATTTTAATTACGGTTAATTTCGGTTCAATTTAATTTTTGTTATATTAATTCATTGTTATATAGTCATATCAAAAAATAATAATTTTTGGATATTGTGTTGGTCGGTCTATAGTGAATAGAGTATATAAACAAATAATGTATAAGAGACATCTTTGAAGTCTTTTTGAATACTCCGATTTCTTTTTTCAAATAAACAAATACATAATAAACAAAACCATCCAGGAGAATTCCTTGGGAACGCTTAATTATCAATATATAAATAATGCTTCAATCATCACCAATCAAGCACCGACCAAAAAGAGAAAATTTGAAGAAAAAAGGACAAGCACAAGTCTTGCGCAACTAACATTAGAACAAACTCAAATTAAAGTGATTAAAAAGGATATTACTATAAACATGACTGCAGAAACATTACAAAGTACATGTGTTGAACTAGTCACTAATTAAGGTTTGTTTCTTTTTTCAATTTTATAATTAAAAATAATAGTTGATAAAATTAAATCAAAATTTGATATTGGATTCGATTATAAATTTTAACTAACCAATTTAAATTGCTTTTCTTTGTCGATTTTAAATTTTTATTTCAACCGGAACTGAACCGAAATTTTTAGAGGAACCGAAATCGAATCTGGAACGATAAACATTTACGTGGAACGTAACCGTAAACCGGAACGAAATTAATTTCGGTTCGACTCTCTGCGAAAGATTTATTCACTTTGAAGGGAAACCTATTAATTATTTTACTTACATATTTATTTTGTTAATATATATTCTAACGGTTTTCAAAATTAATTGACAATACATTGACAATTAACATAATTGACAAATACAGAAAATTTTCGTCTCTCTTTTTAAAACAATTAATTTCAATTTAAGCCAATCTATGGCAGGAAATTATTATTAGTAACAAGAAATTAATGAACTTTATTACTATTATTTTAATATTGTTTCAAGATCATATTCTTATATATTTATGTTTTTGATTGAAATAACTTAAACGAGGATATCTCAAATATTTTACTACAAATCTGTAATTATTTCAATATATTTTAGACTAAACACATGTATAAAATGATTTATTAAAATACTTACTGTAGTTTCAAATTAATAATATGAAATACTATTTTTTGATTATTATATAAGTCACAAACACATTTACAGTTTAATCATGTCAACATTGCTTGGGCTTAATTTGAAAATCTTCTATTTATTTTGTAATATAAAGTAAAAAATAAACTTCTGAGCGTTTTTCGTTAGATGGATTTAATGAGCCATATCTCACGATATATTGCATCTATTGCGACTTAAAGGCGACATAACGCTTTAAAAAAAATCTTGATAGTTTTGTGTTTAGTGAATCCAGTTGTGAGATAGAGCGTTCCAAAATGGATACATTCTTCAAAAGTGTGTTGTTTATGGACCCAGTACAGTATCGAATGCAATTGCAAAGCTTTGGTTTCAACGATTCATTTCTGCTAATATGGACGTCGAAGATGAGATACGCTTTGGTAAGTCAATCGGTGAAAATGTTGATAAAATCATGGACAGGCATGTTAGCACTTATTATATCGCCCAGAACCTGAAGATTAGCCAGAAAACCGTTTGAAACCATTTGAATAAGACTGGTCTCAAGAAGAAGCTCGATGTATGGGACAAAACCCTCTGAACTTTTTACTTCACCCTATTATATATTATAAATGTATATTTAAAGTTTCAATACATTTTTTTTTCTTCAAATTTTCATTTCTTCAGGTTTTTTTTTAATAAAAATATGTTTATGCGAATTAAATCATTTAAAACTTGTTTTCATGAAAAACTACTATTAGTTTGATTCAATCTCAAGATGAACCTCAACTTTGCCTTCGCAAATAAAATATTTTATAATTTACAAAACATAATTATTTCTAAGACTGAGCGTGATTATAAAAGTTTTCGTTTTTCTACTATAATAATCACATTTTTTTTTGAAATATTGCAATAATTATGTAAAAGTTAATTGAAATTTTACCTGAAAGATTTAGCAGTATCTTGAATTTATTATTCACGTTATTAGCGTAATAATAACTTATTTTTTTATAACAAAATTAATATGAAGTATTGAAATAATGAATTGACAATAAATTAACATAGACGTTTTGCAAAATAATTTAAAAAATTTAAAAAACACTCCTTCACTTAAAAAAATATATAATTTAATTTCGATTTGGAAAAAAAATGTATTTTTATTTCATCAAATTGAAATGTATTGATTTTTGTTAAAAGTTAATTAACAATTTACGTAAATGATTGAGCACTATTTCGAGTATTAATTTCTATCCCTCAATTAAATTGGAATTTGCAACACATGAAACACAAAAAAAGTATATAAAATTAAAACATTATTTTACTAAACCTAGACACGTCGGTTTGCGCAAACACAGTGGGGAAACACGGATTCGTGTTATATTTTCTCTGAAAAAATCCCCAGTTATTTATACAAATACGCTGAGGAACGTAAAAAGAATTTCTTTTGTGTGTAAAAATGTAAATTTTATATAAATCTCTGAAATAAAAAAAGTTTTACCTTTTTCACGAAATCTCCGTTTAAGGTGACGTTAATCTCGTCGATGTGGCGTTCTTGAAGTTCCGGAAGGTTGTCGTCTTCGTCGAGGACATGGACGGTGATGTTTTTGAGGATTTCCCGTTTGGTGCCGTTCGGATCTTCGATGGTGCATTTCGTGGAGATGCGAATGAACTCTCCAATTTGCTTGTTTTCTTGCGAAAATTGTCTGGCCGACTGGACGTCCCTCTCTAATGGTTTTCGGGTACGAAGCATCCACGATTTATTCTGATCCGTGGGCGGAATCACCTCCACTCTGTTTTCACCTAAAGAAAAAAGAGAAGAAACAAGGCTATTAACGTGAATATTTTACAAAAGAGAATCGGAGAGGAAAGTCCAAAGACAAAGCATCTATTTATAGATTTCTTGACCCAAAATCTTAATGCAAATTCAAGAATATATAATCATTTAACATATAGTCTGTTTATTTTCATGAAAATTAACGTTTTGAGGACGATCGGCGGATATATCCGCCATATTATTTACACAGGAGATTTTGCTTATGCTAATTGCTTTTATGGTCACTGTGGTAGCGCAGTAATCGAATCTTAGTTAAGAGCGTTGACGTTAGTTATCTAGAGGCGTCAGAGTTGAAATTGTGACCTTGAAATATCCCTTTAAGTACGCTAATTCCAAACTTTCTTCGAAAATTATTCTCTTTACAGAGTTTGTGAAATATTTTATATTGGGATTATCAAACTTTTTCAAATCCATTCAAATAAAATAATCGTTACAGAATATGTCCTTAATTACCATTTCAAATGGGTTAGGATTAAGATGTTGGTGATTAGGGTGTAGGTCAATTGATTCGGATCACCGCTAACGATTACCAAGTCAGTCATCGAAACAATGAGACGAGCAATTTGTTGAGGTCAGCTAACGGCGCATCCACTTTAAGGGTAAACATATTATCCGGAGAATTCGCAATTGGTCAACCACGTAAAAGTGTCCCTTCGCATCCAAACCCTTAGTTAAATAGAGTACTTCGAGAACTCTGTTACGTCGAGGCCATCGCACAGAAACCCCCACAGAACACTTCAAGTATTACAACCAACTTTCATCCCATTACTATCAGTATTAACAACCTTTTCCGACTTTACTCTCGTTTATTTTTTAAATTTTTTTTTGTTTCTTTGTTAAAACTATTAAGAAACGTTATTTGCACTAATTTTTCGTTGTAACTTATTGAAAAAATGTTAATACAAGAAAAAGTAAATAAAATGAGATAAATTAGTCTGATAAAAGCTTTTTTGTATGAAAATCAAGTAAATTATGATAATTTTCAAATACTCTTTCAAATTACGAGCAAATTAATTTACATTTAATTGAAAAACGTATTATTTATAAAATGATTCAATATATGTTGCATACAAGTAAAATATAGTCAAATACTGAAACGTTTCAAAACGGATTATTGTAGAATTTCAAGTATCTGAGAAATATTTCAATTTTTATGTATTTTGTGATTTTTTTTACTGAATAAAGAAGGATATTTGATAACATTCATGAAATATGTCATCTCTCAACTATTTTTCATTAATTTATTTTTTACAAAAGAAAATATAATTAACATAATTGTCAAATTTAAGTTAATTTTTATATTGTTAAGTTTTCACTGAATTATTTATAATTAAATAATAGTTATTGTATATTAAAAAACAAGTTTTTTGTATAAATATCTAAAATTTTATATATAACTTAAATATAATAATTTATTGCATATATGTACAAACTTTCGGTTATTAACAGCAGTATTTTAGCTGTAACTTATATATATTATATGGAAATGGTCAAATCTTCAAAAGTTCCGTATCGAATTCACAGAAAAGTATCATTTTTCAAGTGTCTCTAGAGACTAAAGAAAATATTTCATATTTTTTTAGGTCTTTTATCATGGCGATATTTCATAAAGTAGAAGAAGGAAATTTGATTAAATTTTGAACATTTATATTCCTCAAATTATTGTATTTTTGAGTTGTCACTAAATTATTTATAATTAAACCCTTTGTATGTTATTATACAATAAATTTATGTAAAAGTAATAAATAATAAAAGATCAAAATATTCATGTTATTTATTTGTATTCAAGTCAAATATATTGTGTAGAAATGTATAAGTTTCGTATTGAAATTCTTGGAGAATTCTCACTTATCAAGTGTCTCTGGGGGCTTTATAGAATAGTTCAATAGTTTTATGTGCTTTATTAAAGTAATTTTTCATCGAATAACACATGGAAATTTTATTAGAATCAATGTCTTGTCAGTTTTTCAAAACATTTTTTTTTAAATTTTATTTAATTTTTATCTAATATTTATTTATATAAATAGATTCACTCTAAACATTAAATAAACCTATATATTTTGTAATTTCTAGTAAAAAAAATGAAGAAACAATATTTTCGTGATTTTTGATAATTATTTCTGTTAATTAATTAATCGAAATCTGCAAAAGGTATAATTAATATTAAACATGGAAATTAAAGAGTAGTTAGTGTAATATTTGTAACTTCGGCTGTTGTGTAATAATTTATAATAATAATTGAGTAAATAAATAAGATAACTTGAAAAATAAGTATTTTCGTATTTTATTGAATTACTCGAAATTCACAAAAGCTAGAACTGACGTTGAACATTTAAATTAAACCTAAATATATATGGAATAATGTGTATTTAATGTAATATTTGTAAGTATAGCTGTTTTGTAATAATTTGCAACAATAATTGAGTAACAAAATAAGAAAACTTGAGAATCTAGTGTCTTCATATTGTATTGAATTATTTCAAATCTACAATTAAATCTGAATATACATAGAAAAATGTGTGTTTACTGCAATATTTGTAACTTCAGCTGTTTGGTATCTTCATATTTTATTGAATTATTCGAAATCTATGAAAACTAACCTTGAACATGGAAAATATTGCCGATATAATGAATTAATGTAATATTTTAATATTTGTATAATAAATTTAGAAAACTTGGAAAGGTAGTATGTTCATATTTTATTGACTTATTCTAAATCTACAAAAGCTAGAACTGATGTTGAATTTGGAAATTAAAGCTGAATATATGTCTTCTCTAGAAGTAGTCTCAGTAAAACCTTTAAAGATGAACATAATTTTAAAGAATCTTAATTTGATGAGCATAGTCTCAGATGAATCTTAAATCGACCAAGTAACAAATAAAGTGATGTAAAACCAAACGAATTTCATTAAATTCCCAACAACTGAGACTCCCCAACGACAACACCATACAATATTCCACTGTATTCATTCCTGGGACATAACATATATACGGAATAATGAGTACTTGCTATAATATTCGAAACGTCATCTGTTTTGTAGTAATTTACAATGATAATTGAGTAATAAAATAAGAAAACTCGAGAAAGCACTCTCTTCACATTGTAATGAACTTCTCCAAATCTATAAAACTGATGTTGAAAATGGAAATTGAATCTGATGATATAAGAAGTAATAGGTGATTTGTATAACATTTGTAACTTCAGTGATTTGGTTGAAATTTGTAGTCAAATATGAAGAAATATTAAGAATCGAATATTTTGACTGTATGTTTAACATGAAGATTAGTATTTAATATTAAAAGTGATAAATATGTTCATTTTCCACGAAAAAGAAATCAAATTGAGAAGTAAATTAAAATGTATGCTTATTCTAAATAATATTTAATGAAACAATTTTTTTTTATTTAAAGACTTTTGATTTTATTTACTGAAGACCATATAATGCAATTTTTCACAAACTTTGAGTAATTATTTTTTTTTAACATTTTTTTATGTGGCTGAAAACATAAAATTTTGCAGAAATTACTAAAAATCGTAAAGCGTTTCAATTACATTTTTGTTATTTGAATTGGTATAATTGCTTGATCCAATTACGGTTCGTGATTACGCGGCAGATCGAGTAAAGACAAACACGGATGTAATTCGTATCTGGAAAAGCTTTATAATGCCAATCAATTCGGAAATCCCATCTACGCTCAGGGGAAATGCGGATCGCACCGTGACCAATTAACACTTCAGTGGTTACAAAAACAAAACCACTTGACAAAAAAAAACTAGTTCCAAAAGCGTTAAATAAACAGTTCATAGATTTGAAATAATTTAAGATTTCAGCACGAATTAATTGAAATGAATTGTATTTTTGTTAAGTTTTTGAAATAGGAACGTATTTGTAAAAGCATTAATTAACAAATCCATGAAATTTGTAGTTGTAAAAGGAATAAATTGAAATCCATTTTCTTCAAGTTTTCAATTCAATTTCTGGAGAATGAATGTATTTCAACAACAATAGTAATTGTTATTTTTATTGTATAAAGGAATAAGTTGTGTTTTTTTTTTTACAAAAATCTATTTTTCAATATGTCAATCCTGACAATCAAAATCAGGAATTTGATTTTCGGGATTTCGGTTGTCGGGATTTCAATGTAGATCTGGTTTTTAGAGCAAAATTGAAATTTAATGTTGGGAATTAAAACAATATTAGTTTTTTTGCTTTTTGGTTGAAATCTAACAATAAGAAGATAGTTTTCAATATAATTAGACTAAGAATGTATTTCTTAAACAATTGAATTGAAATAGTAATAGTTTTTTAGTTAATTGGGGATAAATAAATTGAAATCTATTTTCTTTTTGTTTTCAATTTTCTTTAGGAGTGAAAGAAAACTATATACCTTTTATAAAATTAAACTGGAGTATTTTCGCTTTCGGTTATATCTTTTTTACTGAATCTACGACGTAATGTAATTCCACGTAATTTACTGTAATTCCCTCGGCCCTTTTCCCTCACTAAACATGTCTTCTCGAATCTCATTCAGATTTAGTGAAAACTACACCGACGAAAATAAAGAGAAATAAACAAATATGCGGAGAAAGATTTTTATGCTCTCTCCATGCAAGTTGTTTGTGAAACTTTTCCAGTGGCTTTTCTCCACTTTCAACACGATCCGACGCCGAGTTTATCTCTTTATAAAAAGGAAACGTAAACTTTTCTTGTTATTAAAAGGAAGCAATCTTCTAACGTAAACCCTATTTCTTGCAATATTGATTATAGTATAATAGTTTTAATTATATATTTTTTTGTTAGTGGAAGGGAAATATTTACCTTTGTTGATGGTGTAATTGAGTTTGAAGCCAGGACACAGATCGGTGAGGAACGGGGAGCTGAGTGTTCCAAGAATGGTCGGTTTTCTGTTCTCGAAGATCCTGTAGTCTGCGGTCTGCCAGTAACATAAGTCTTGAACGATGAGAACACAATCGAGTTTATCTGGTGGAGAGATATTAACTCGGACGCTCGTTTTATTTATCCTTCCGCCGTCCGACACAGATGCTGTCATATCGAAACTGACTGCTCCTGCGGAAAAAAAAAGAGGATAAACTTCTAGATAATTACTAAATCATGTGTTGAATGAAGAAAGAAGTTACGTTACTTTTTTTTATTCAAAATTGATTATACTATCATTAGTTCATTTAAATTTACCAATAATTACTCAAAGTTTATAAAGTAAAAATGAAACAATTATATATCTTTATTTTGTTGAAAAATGATTAGTATAAGCAATGATTTTATGTGAATTCAAACTTATGCAACGTTTAATTATTGGATTTGTAACAAAAGCACATTTAATAATTTGCGAACGCGCGGCGGATATATCCGCCATATCCTTTTCACAGGAAACTTACATTAAAATATTCCCATTTTCAGAAAATCAATTATATAATCATTATTTAATTTAAATTTGTTAATAATTACACAAAGTTTATCTAATAAAACTGAAACTATTATACTTCTTCATTTTCTTGAAAAACAATTATTATGCAATGATTCAATTTATTTGTATTCAAACTAACGCAACTTTGAACTATTGTATTTGAAAAAAAGCACATTTAATCATTTGCGAACGCGCGGCGGATATATCCGCCATATCCTTTTCACAGGAAACTTACATTAAAATATTCCTATTTTCAGAGAATCAATTATATAATCATTATTTCATTTAAATTTGTTAATAATTGCACAAAGTTTATTTAATAAAACTGAAACTATTATACTTCTTTATTTTCTTGAAAAATGATTAGTATAAGCAATGACTTTATGTGAATTCAAACTTATGCAACGTAACAAATTGGTAAATATTGGATTTGTAACAAAAGCACATTTCATAATTTGCGATCGAGCGGCGGATATATCCGCCATATCCTTTTCACAGGAAACTTACATTAAAATATTCCTATTTTCTGAAAATCGATTATATAATCATTATTTCATTAAAATTTGATAATAATTACATAAAGTTTATTTATTACAACTGAAACTATTATACTTCTTTATTTTCTTGAAAAACTATTATTATGCAATGATTCAATTTATGTGTATTCAAACTAATGCAACTATTGTATTTGAAGAAAAGCACATTTAGTCATTTTCCAACGAGCGGCGTATATATCCGCCATATCCTTTACACAAGTGACTAACTCACTTACATTAAAATATTCTTATGTTCAAAAAATCGATTATATAATCATTTGTTCTTTTTAAATATATTTCATAATTACACAAAGTTTATATAGACAAAATTAAACTATTATACTTCTTTATTTTCACATTTAATAATTTGAGAACGAGGGGCGGATATACCCGCCATATCTTTTTCACAGGAAACTTACATTAAAAGATTCCTATTTTCAGAAAATCGATTATATAATCATTATTTCATTTAAATTTGTTAATATTTACACAAAGTTTATTTAATAAAACTGAAACTATTATACTTCTTTATTTTCTTGAAAAACAATTATTATGCAATGATTCAATTTATACGTATTCAAACTAACGCAACTTTCAACTATTGTATTTGAACAAAAGTACATTTGAGCTTTTGCAAACGCGCGGCGTTTATATCCGCCATATCCTTTTCACAGGAAACTTACATTAAAATATTCCTATTTTCAGAAAATCGATTATATAATCATTATTTCATTTAAATTTGTTAATAATTACACAAAGTTTATTTAATAAAACTCAAATTATTATACTTCTTTATTTTCTTGAAAAACAATTGGCAGGCAATGATTCAATTTATGTGTATTCAAACTAACGCAACTTTCAACTATTGTATTTGAAAAAAAAACAATTTTAAACATTTGCCAACGAGCGGCGTATATATCCGCCATATCCTTTACAAAAGTGTCTAACTCACTTACACTAAATTATTCCTATGTTCAAAAAATCAATTATATAATCTTTTTATATTTATTTTGTAATTACACAAAGTTTATGTAGTAAAAAATAAAGTATTATACTTCTTTAATTTCACATTTAATAATTTGCGAACGATCGGCGGATATATCCGCCATATACTTTGCACAGGAGATTTCGCGGTATAAAAAGACAAAACATTATTTTCTTAATAATTTGTATATGAAAGTAGTAAATTTGAAATTCTTAAGATGTTCTTACAACTATTGTTAATTACTCTAGTAAAGCCTTATTTGCTGACTGAATGAATGGTGACTAAGGATATTCAATAATGCTTGAAATATCGTAGTTGAAGATCTACGTAGGCGGCGTGGGTGTAGGTCAGTGAAGTGAACTGAATATTACGGTTGGGTGGATGCGCCGGGTTACAGATAACTAAATCCTCAAAAAAAGGCATAATTCTCACACGTTCGAAGACGATAACTTCCTACTCTATTAATAGCTATTGATGCCAAAGTTCAGGCCAATTAATTTTCACTTCTGTCGACAATTTAATAAAAAAAGAACAGAAAGATAATACATTTCATTCAATTTACATCCCAAAAATTAATATAATTTTAACAGTTTTTTTTTTCTATTATATCTAACTTAAATTAGAAAAATTAAAGTAAAAAAAACTCAAGTTTGTAAACTGTTGCATTCTTTGTGCATTTATTTGAAATTCAATTAAATCCACGTTGGCTTAAATATTTTTGTTTTCTCTACAAATTAATTAAGGAAATTAAAGGATTCAGGTAATTTAAGAAGCTTTACATATTTTATTCCGGTAATCCCGAAACCGGTTTCAAGTTTACGCTCTTAAAGCGAACATTCGCAACTAAAACCTACTGACCTTTAAACCTCCGTTTTAACATGCCATAAACAAATGAATCTCATTAAAATACTTGATTAAATTAAAGATATATTAATGGTTTTTAAAAACATAATAAAATCTCATATAGATTTTTATTAATTTGAGAAAAAAAAAATAATGAAAATTAGTAAAATTATTAACAATATTTTGAAGAAAATATTTTAGAGCAGATCAAAAATTACTCTGTGAATATCAAGTAAAAAAAATTAATAAAAAGTATTTGGAATAAATGGAATTTCTTGATAAAGTTAGATTGTAAAGTAATTATCGTTGAAGCCAGTTCTTAGAAGTTTTAAGCAGTTTTCTGATTAACAAAAAAAAAATAATGAAGGAAATTTTTCTTAAAAAGAAAATATGCAAATTTTTACTCCATACATAAAATAATAATATTAAAATAATTTAAATATAAAAGGAACGATTGAATGCAGTTAAAAAAAACATAGTACATAATTCAATTGTACTAAAATGATTCAATTGGATCGTTAAAAGTTTGCTCAATTTATTCATTATTTAATATTACGTAAACACGTCACCAAGAAGAAAAACAAATGTAATTGATGAATGCGTAATAGGGCATTATTTTTTTGTTGTTTTTTTCTTCTTAAAGATCTTAACTGTACCCACGCAACTATGAAATTTATTTGCGTCGATGCATTATGCACGTAACACAATTTATGCATTCATGCATGTTGGATAATCTAAAATCAATGCCTTTTTAATAACTCCGAAGAAACAACGAAAACACGACACAAGGCATTACTTAGATTCAAATTTTGATATTACCATATGTAAAACAATAATATGTTTAGTATATGCGATGAAAAGAAGAAATTTCAAAGTGATATTTAATAGTTTTTTTGTATATTTTAAGAAAGTTAAGCAACGTGTGTTGTTAAAAAACAGTACATTTAATCATTAGCGAATGAGCGGCGGATATATCCGCCATATGCATATACAATATTTGTTTAGTATATGCGGGAAAAATGAAATGTCAATGTTACGTTTAAAAAAGTATTATTTTTTTTGTATATTTTAAGAAAGTTAAGCAATGTGTTGTTAAAGAAAAGCACATTTAACAAGCTGCGGATATATCCGTCATATTCAAATACAATATTTGTTTAGTATATGCGTGAAAAAAGAAATATCAAAGTGACGTTTAAAAAAGTATTTAAGTGTGTTATTAAAGAAAGGCACATTTAACGAGCTGCGGATATATCCGTCATATTCAAATACAATATTTGTTTAGTATATGCGTGAAAAAAGAAATGCCAAAGTGACGTTTAAAAAAGTTTTTTTTTTGTATATTTTAAGAAAGTTAAGCAATGTGTGTTTTTAAAGAAAAGAACATTTAACGAGCTGCGGATATATCCGTCATATTCAAATACAATAAATATTTAGTATATGTGATGAAAAATAAAACTGTATGAAAAGAATTTGAATTGATAAACATAATTTATTTGTAAACCTAATCAATTAATATCTCTTTTTTAGGCTTAATGTATAAATATTTCTGGAAGCACAAAAGATTGCTTCTTTTGGAAACTGAATTATTCGAAGATCTATTGTACTAGAAAATGTTTCTTGAAATGTTCAGGAATGCATAACGACTCATTTAAATAAGTTAAGAAATGTAAAATTTTCCTGATGGGATGAGATACTTGCCTTTAAAATTGGATTCCAGGTATTCCTTGGTGAAGGAAACGGCGCCGGAGTGTGGATGAATCTTTAAATATTTCATGTTGGGATTGAGGATGGAGTAGGTGAGTCTCGTCCGGTTTCTATTTGCTTCCGGCTGCGCGTGCAGCTTCAGCAGGATTTGCTTACTTCCGGTCGGGTACTTGCTCCTGTCACCAGGTACATTAACCGAGACATCTGTTATGGAAAAGTAAGCGCCGTCAACTGCAACAAAAGAAGAAAAAAAAAACGAATAAACTTCAAGGCAAAGATATAAAACTTATCTCGTGCATATGCAAAGCAATGCTCATAAAGATGTTTTGGACGTAACGTATTTTTTTTGTTAGAGGGCGCAGGTTTAGGGGATTCCCCTTTTGAATGTTCGTATTTATTATATAATATATATATATATATATATATTCATTCGACGAAACTTGTGGGGTGGCTTTATTAAACCGTTTTACGTCAATTCGAAAACAGGGAAACCGGCTGAATGAGCAGAGGAGGCCCGTGGATCCATTGTACAATTGCCCGCCTCTGCAGTCCAAAACCGACATTCCCACATCCCTGAAATACGGAACATGCGGCTTTCAGCACTTAGCATTTCAACGAATTTATTAAATCTACATTATTCAAATTCCTGACATATCTAATATGGTGGAACATCTTTTCCGAGAATACAAAGAAACTTGTTGAATCGCGGTTAAATTAATTGAAACATTAAATTAACTGTCTTTGTCACTGATTTAACGCTTTGAGTATTAGTGGTCTTATGATGAAACCACCTTTAATAATTTTTGTTGTAAGAGTCCTATAGATGCCCACACGATGAATGTGTTAGCATACCATTGTTTGTTATTTTAAACCTTATCCGACGAGCGGCTGATATAGTCGCCCAATTCTTTACAAAGAAGACACACTTTTCCTGACACTACACTTTTTCGCATAGAGCAATATTTAATAATCATGTATATAAATCAATATATTCATTAATCAAATAATGAATGTTACAAATTTTCAACTGAAAACTTTCCAAGAAGAATAAATAAGTAGTAATAATTACATTTTAATGTTGGATGCAATGATTTGAAACGTGTCTCTTGTTATTTAGTTGTTGTCAAGGAGATATATAACCTATTCAAGCTTAATTTAGTATCTACTGCTGTTTTAATTATGATACTTAAGATTTCTATGTACTTTTAGGTAAGTCAAATCACTGTTTATCTCTATAGTTTTACGTAATGTATAATTGCATATCTCATGATATAATTGAGAGGGGAAAAGTTATTTTTGAGAACAAATACAATCTATGTAATTTCATCAAACATTAAATTATTTCGAGGTTAAAATATCAATATTGTATTATTAAAGGTAAGTGTGAAATATAGCGATCAATAGCTTTTTGTACTTAGATATTCATTATATTTTTTATTACATAACTATTTTACAAAATATGACAGATCTGTCAAATTGTTGTCAATTTTCGAAATTTGAATATCGTTGATTATTCATACTTCCAAATATCTCTTATGTAACAACACCATCATATGGAAATTTAAAAAATACAATATTTTATTTGTTTCCAGCAATTAATTTTTTTTAAATATTTGAAACTTTTTTTATTCATTACGAAAAATAAATTATTGATTAATAGAAAGAAAATCAATAATTATTTATGAAAAAAAAAGGCTCTTTACTAATTCGTATTGATACTTAATTTGTCCTTGAAAAAATACCTATGAAAATTTACAATTATTCTTCTAAAATTTATTGTCGATTTAACCAATATTTTAAATAAAATGTGATGAAATTAATTATAAATATTTTTTATTATCTACACATTTTAATTGGCTTCCATTGAGACTAAAAAGGCTATAAATCTTATTGTGTCTGTTTTCTTTATATTTGTGCATTATAAGAAAAATAAACTTTATTTAATTTTTAAACTTTTGGTAAATTATTGCAACTATTGCCATAAATATCATTATTACATAAGATATAAACAAGTTTTGGTTTTACTTAAGCATATCTGTATTCATCTCCAAATCATGATATATTTTAATATAATTAATGATTATTAAAGTCCATTTGAAGAATGAATCCCATGTATTATTATCAGACAACAGTTTAATCATGATTTTAGTAGTTTTTTTTTTCTTAATGATTTCCGAAATGAAAAATAGGAGATGCGGAACAGAAAAACAAAATATAAAGAAGAACCACATTCACATTTTAATTAAGATATGCATTTCTAAGGCATGTACATTCTGGGAATAATAATCAGAATGTTAGGGTGGACGACGACGGCGAAAATTCCAGACGAGTAATTATGAAAAATTTTCCGGAAAGAATGTTGCACGCCCACGTCCCGTCTCAGCCCCCTTTTTATCCATTGCGTTGGATATGCCCTTATGCCATTCCCATTGTGCGCGCCCTATGGCCATTTTCATTTTCATTTTAACGGTGCGGCTTTCATTCGAGGATCGCTTTCAATGCATGCACAAACCGACAGAAATAAAAACATTAAAAGGATTGTTCGAGGGGTGGAGAAAACGAAAGGGGTTTTTGTATCGCGTTTATATTGAACTGTCATTTGGATTGAGAATTGTATACAAGCTATCTTCAATGTGAAGTGTTTCATCCTTTTCCTCGTCCACCGAACAGATCAATCCATATTTACAAATTCGCAAACAATGAGTGTGTGTGTAAAGAGCAGATAAAAGTAAATGAACCGTCCGTAATCTATTTCCCAATAAATGTTACGACCTATGTCAACACAATCGACCTATTTCCCTTGTTTTTTTTTGTGTTTTGTTTTATACGTAACAAAATCAATTGGGGTCTGGAAATAACCTTGCACCTCACATTTTCAACATTGATTAAGTACATACATTCAAGTAAATATAGTCAATATATGGAATATATCGAAAATAAAAACAATACATACCAAAATAGCTTTGAATCCTTCACAAATAACAATGTTGTACATAAATATGAGATACATTACAAACAAAAAATAAATATTTTGTTTTTTTCGGTAAATTTTATAATTAACGAAGTTTCTCAGACGCCATGCGAGTAACTAAGTTACGAAATGACGCTTATTTGTCTTTTGTATATATCATAAAACTTTGCTCTTCCAATGAGGTTCTCATTGGAAACCAAAATTATTCTACTTTGAAATCTAAATATTGATGATATTTGCTAAAGATCAGTCATTTTGACCCGAAATACACTAAATAAAATACTTCTGACCACGACTGCTTTTGGTCCTACAGAAAAGTACATTAGAAAATAGTAGAATAGTAAATTGCAATTGATTTAAAACAAATATCAGTTGGGTTAATCTCACCCAACTTTGGTACTTACGGGTTAAAAACGAAATATTTAAATTTAATAAATAGATTATTTATTTTGTTTATATATAAAATTGATTGATTTTGACCATAGTTAATTGACATAATGTTTTTTTGCTAAATATAAATTAAATGAATCTGAATTGAATTTAATTCAACAATATTGCGTGTTTTCAAAACAAGTTTTCAAACTTCAGCAATATTTTATGTCCATCAAATTTCAAATGAGTAAAATTTACTTAAATTTAGGTTTAAAAATAGGTTTAAAAATAAATATAAATTATTTTTATGTAATTTAAAATATTAAAATAATATTAAAATATTGATTTAACAAAATCAATTGGGGTCTGGAACCTGGCACCTCACATTTTCAACAATGCTTATGATACATACAATCAAGTAAATATAGCCAATATATGGAATATATCGAAAATAAAAACAAATAACAATTTTGTACATAAATATGAGATACATTACAAACAAAAAATAAATATTTTGTTTTTTTCGGTAAATTTTATAATTAACGAAGTTTCTCAGATGCTATACGAGTAACGAAGTTACGAAATGACGCTTGAGTTACAGAACTCTATTGAATTTTTTAGTTCAGTTTTATAATGAAAAATTACAAATTGTAAGAAAATAAATAATAAAAAAAATATGAATACTAAAATTTTATCAAAAATATTTATCAATTACATAATTTTAACCATTGTGGACGCGCGCGCATTCTTATTACATGAAGACCCGCACAGGGTATATTTTACCCACTATCTATTACATCAGTTTAAATGTTATCTTATGTAATTATGATGTATAATTTCTTATAAAAAATTATTTTAGAAGGCATTTAGTACACAAATAGGAATTTTAATAACATATTTTTTACAGATAATGATTTTGTAATTTATTGCTAATAATCAGAAATATTATTAATAAAAAAAAGTTAAAATAGATAAAATAGTATTGTTTATATTGAGAATAAAATCTACTATTAATAACTATAAGAACGTGTGTTTCCAATAAATCAATTCCATTTATAAACGACATTCAGCAAATACCTTATGTATCTGAGTTTCACATCTATTGATGCGATTAAAAGATAAACCATTATTTGTACCACCAGAAATAAACGTTAAAAATCAATTCTATTTATAAAACAAAACCATCGATTAAAGCCAAGTTAGCATAAATAAAACCAAACCATGGCAACAGCATACAATTTCAACAAAAAAAAATGAAACATAACCAATAAAAAGCAATTTTATTAATAGTAAAATACGCAGTTACAAATGGGACAAAATATCCATTCTCTATGCAAATAAAAAAGAAAAGCTTTTTATTAATTTAACACCGCAAATAAATTGATTGATTCGTTTAATTCTTTTACTAGTCAGAATTTTTGGATTGTTGTCAAGCGCTGCGATATCTCATTAATTGCGATTAGGTAAAATAAGCAAGTTCAAGGTTTCGTGCCGACGAACGAAAAAGGAATAAAAAAAAATAATGTAACTGCAAATAAAAATAAACCATTTTAAAGACACGCTCGTCACGCAAAGGTAAAACGGCAGTTTGAAAATACCTACGTTCACTCAATACTTTATGTAATATATATATGTATGTGTAGTTCTATAAAAATTTAAAGAGTGAGCTTTTTTTTGTTTTTCGAATTGTATCCTTGGTTACGAGGCTTTTTAAACAAATGCGGTGGATGCGCCGGGCGATAATTATGATTGCGAATCGATACGGCAGTAAAGTTCAGGTTCAAAGGTGTTTTAATTTAAGTAAAAGCTACGTTTAGTCGGCGGATAGTAAAAAAAAACTGTAGCGTATTAGTGCCCATCCCCTTGATAACATAGTAACAGAAGATAT